TGGCGTTGCTGGAAGAGACCATGAGTGTTGGGTTTTTTGAAGAAGAAAAGGGGGTATGAGAGTTTGGAGGGAGGCTTTTTTGAAGCGATCCCACAGACGACGCCAATTGATGATGTGCAATCCGGCCGGTCTTAGCTATCAACGACCTTGCCTCTGAACTGAGTAGCAAAAAACTTGAAACGGAGAAGGCGAGGAATCTCCGGGGGGAACCCGGTGTAAAGCCTCCGAAGCTTAAGTTAGAATCCTTCAAAGGCAAGGTAAAACCAAATAGCACAGTTTGCATACCTCCTCTTTGGGGGTGGAGAGCCTTTTATAACCACCTCGCGCACTCACTCCTAGACTCCTGTCAGGTCGGGAATGAGTATTTCCGTGCTTCTGCCAGTTCGGGCGTCATCGCCTCTGCTGGGGCAAAACCGTCACTGCTCCTTTTGTCGGAGCCGTCTCTATAACTGGAGATAGCGGTGACAGGTGACTGTGGTAGGTGGTCGTTTGAAATGCGGCCGTCAAGCGTCAGATCCCAAGTCAGTCAGGTGCGCCGCCCCTGTATACGGACTCCTTCGGTGTCAGATACGGCACGGTTCATCCAGTTCAATGCTCCAGAAGCGAAGTGCCTGGAGCGGTGCGTGAGGCGAAGTCTTGAGTTCGGATAAGGGGGCCCCGAAGTGTCATAGGACGGGCCAATTCGGATCTCTGCTTTGTGCGACTCGGGGCCAAAGGGAGAGTTCGGGTTCCTCGTAGGGAGTTCGGGCACCTTGCAGGGAGTTCGGGCTCCTTGCAGGGAGTTCGACCACTAAGTAGGGAGTTCGGGCAATCTCTAGGGAGTTCGGACCGCTGGTCTCTTCCATTTGGCGTTTGTACCCTCGATACGCTGTTTTAAGTGCCGAGCTATTTGCTTTTTTGCCACGTGACGTGATTTGCGAGGTCGGGCCAAATCTTCCTTCATCTCTTTTTGCTAAGTGGATTTCTTATTGCTTTAATTGYTTTCACTTACTGCATGTTGTCCAAGGAGGAGTTGTATTTTATTATCTGAAGACGGATGAGGTGATCAAGTAGCTAGCTTCTAATGGGATCTTATCCTCATTTCTCTGACATAATTCTTGAATTTGGATTCGTTAAGCTGATTTAACTGTAAAACCAAGAGTTGTTTCCTTCCAATTTTTAGGAACATCTAATCTTTGGATGTAGATAATACCTACAAAACAATGACAACAGCAAATATAGGCAAACATATTAACATTTCAAGAAACAAAGTAATTACTACTCTACATAACTTCCAGAAGATGTACAGAAATGGAAAATGCTGCCAAAAAATACTCATCATGGGTGAGGGAGAGGGAAAAACGCATCTCTGCACATTCCCCCTGTTACTAACAAAATCCATAATACAGACAAGGGTGGGGGTGGGGGGTTGTAGAATCAATACCACTTGAGAAATTCTCAGAAGAAAGCTACTAAAATCTGCTTCTTCTTATAAAAAAAAATAGAAGAAAAAAAATCTAGGTACTACTGAACCAGCTCAGCTCAACTCAAATCAGCATTAATCCCAAGTCCCAATTATTTGGGATCATCTATAGGTATTATGGAACTAAAACAGGAAAAAAGACAAAGAAAAGCATTTACTGGTAACAACCTTAGATTTATTGCTTAAAGAAATAAAAGTCTACAATTGAACAATATGTTTAAAGAAAGCTATAAACATTAAAAGAAAGAGCAATGATCATTGTAGCATCAGATTCCACAACCTATTTCTTTTCAATATTTCTACAGAACGAGTATAGAGGAAAAATGTACTTACACTTGACTAGGATGCCCACTGAATATCCACAAAAAAGATTTGCTATCTCCTAAAAAACAGAAAATAAAGGCTTCACATTGAAACCAATCCTTCAAATCCATGGATAACCAATTAAGTGGCCATGGAGCCCAGATAAACATTGCCATAAGTACTGCAAAAAGGAGTGCAGGTCTCAAAGGTTTATAAGATTTAAAGAGCACATATGCTATTAATCGCAAGATAATTAAACCTCATTCTGATTATACTCGAGGAAAATTTTATGAGATGGAAATAGCATAGACAACAGCATTATCTATGGCAAAGACAAACCTTATTCTTGGTAGTACACAACGCTTCATCACACTTGTGTGTCTGAAGAAGTAGGTAGAAATAGCATAGACAACAGCATTATGAACTCATTATGTATGGCTTTTTTAGGTAACATCTGGTGACAACGCAGATTCAGCCAGGCACAAAGACGTCAGCGGAAACCTTTTGTCAGTGCTGTTGTGAATGCTGATTTTGGCAAGGTAACAAAACATCAATTTATGTGATGATTTGGTTTTTGTTAATTCTGTTTTGCACATGCTTAATGGGTTCATCTTCTCTTATCCTTGTGCTGGATGAGTGGTCGACCGGTCCTTCTGAAACTTCAAGGGGTGGATCCACCAGGAGTTGGCCAGTCAACGTAGGGCTATCAAAGGGTATGGTCCAGGTCGGATCAAGGCAGGAACAGTTCCCAACCGGCTGTTAATCGGAACAAAATTGTAGACCTAGAACCGTTCTTGATAGTATAAAATCTAGGATAATATAATAAACTACGCTAATAACCAAACCGATCATATAGAAAGCTATTAGTGTTTTATTTAAAAAGCAACCCAAATTTAAAATTTGATAATATAACCATAATAAAAATTGACAGAAAACACTAAACCATTGATAAGCTAAAAATACCAAACACTTAAAACTAATACTATAAGTAAAACATAGAATTTTCAGCATATATTGTGATAAAATTATAAGAAAATCACCAAATTATTATATAAAATTAATCAAGCAATTGGCTATGGGTCTTAATCGTTTTGGGAGTGTTGATAGCAAGAACCGACCCTGTTCTCAGGTCGACAAATTTATGGAACCGGAACCGTTATACTAGGTTCGGTTAGCCAAGGACCGTTGGGCAGACCCTACCCGTTGACAGCCCTAATTTAGGAATGTAGGACGGTGGAAGACCAGCGCTGCAACAACTCTGGTATTTCCCTTCCTTCCCCACCGGGATCCACATTCCTTGGTAAGAAGCTTTCCCTAGTCAATGTTCAAAGTTAGGCTTTTGTAGGGAATGACTCTAATGTGGGATGTTGATTTTGGACTCGCACGACTTGACGAGTGCTTCCAAAGCAACGTCAACCGTGTCACTACAGACGCATTATCTGGAGCTCTCTTTGCCAAATGAGGTATCAAGAGTGGCCGCGACCATGTAGGTTTACATTTTTCTATATGCTAAAGCTTCTCAACCTGGTTTAGTAGGTTTCATTTAACAGTACAACAGATGGGATTCAAACAATGCCAGTCAGATCATACTGTGTTTGTGAAGTAAGGTAAAGAGAAAATTGCAGCTCTAATTGTGTATGTTCATGACATAGTAATCATCGGAGACTAGAAGACTGAAATACAAAAGCTGAAGAAATTCCTAGCCACTCAATTTGAGGTGAAAGATCGAGGCCCCTTACGTTATTTCCTTGGAATTGAAGTTTCCCGCTCAGAAAATGGCATCTTTATTTCTCAAAGGAAATACGTACTAGATCTATTAGAGGATACAGGCAAGTTGGGAGTGAAACCAATTGATTCACCCATTGAACCCAACCATCAGCTAGGAGACGGTCAAGGGGAGTGTTTGAAAGATGCGAAGAAGTTCCAAAGACTTATAGGGAGACTCTTATATTTGTCTATGACAAGACTTGATATTGCCTATGCAGTGGGTGTCCTTAGCCAGTTCATGCAAAACCCTAAGACAACTCACTTTGGAGCTGCAAAAAAAATCCTTAGATACCTCCAGAAATTCCCAGGAGCTGGTTTGCTTTTCTATAAATATGGGCATTTGAAAGTGGAGGTGTATACAGATGTTGATTGGGCAAGGGCAATCAATGACAGAAAATCTACCAGTGATTGTACCTTTGTGGGAGGAAACCTAGTCACTTGGAGAAAAAGCAAAATGTGGTGGCTAGATCTAATGCTGAGGTAGAATACAGAGCCATGTCTCATGGAGTTGTTGAAATGATGTGGATAAAAAACTTGTTAGGAGAGCTGGGTTTTGCAATAAATAAACCTATGTCACTCTACTGTGACAAGAAAGATACTATCAATATTACTGCTAACACAGTCCTCCATGATAGAACAAAACATATTGAAATGGACAAGCATTTTATTAGAGAAAAACTTGTAAGCGGAGAGGTGTGCACTCCTTATGTCAGTTCAAAGGAACAACTTGCAGACATCTTCACCATGTGCGACATAATAATTTGTGTGACAAGTTGGGCATGATTGACATCCATGTCCCAACTTGAGGGGGAGTGTAGGAATGTTAGTTTTATTTCTTATGTTTGTATTCTGCTGAGTTAGGGTCCATTTGGACTAGTTAAAGCAGTTTTTTCTTAGGAGTGCACACCTAAGACAACTCACTTTGCAGACATCTCTCTCCTCTTCACTCTTCACTCTTCTCTCCTCTCTTCCTCTCTCTGTTCTCCTTCCTCTCTTCTCTATTCGGCTTTTAACAAATGTGTTTATAGTAGGCCTTAGAAAATTTAATTAAAGATTCAAGGTAGGCTCTAATCATATGATTAGTAGCTCCAAAATCAATTATCCCAACATGAGAGGGAAAAGTGTAGTAACCAAAGAACTCACCAGATAAGCCAATAGTAGAAAATGCAGATGAGATAGTAGAGGATACCAATTGGCAGATCTTTTCCTCATCCATATAAGCAAAAGATTCACCTTTGATAAAAAAGGCATTAGACATTTGTCCCTTAGTCACCTGATAAGCTCGTGGTTGATTCTTCTTAATAGTACCCTTCGATGGTCGAACTGAGCAATCTGGAATGATATGACCATGTTGTTTACAATAAGTAAATACATTCTTTTATTTGCAATGAGAAACAATATGTTAAAACCCTTTACATTCATACCACTAGGTTTTAGAAAAATCCTTGCCAACAGATTTCTTACTCCCTTGCAATAAAGACTGTATCAGCCCTAGAGTCAAGTAACCTTCCACCTATGTTTACAGCAATCATAAGTCTAGTTTCTTCCGTTTGCAGTTCTCCCATTACAAAACCTAAATTTGGAAGGGTGCCTCTACTCAAAATATTAGACCTTATTAGTTCATACTCAAGTTTATGTCTCATACGGAACTAGTTCACGTTCTTCTTCAAATATTGCTTTTGAAGATACTTAACACACTCTAAGGAGTGTAAGGGATCAATATGAACCAGTTCATACTTTGCCCACAAGTCAAGAAAGCCTGCATAATATTCATATATCTTTTTAGCCCTTGGCAATAAACCTCAGACTCAATTTGATATTGTCTCAATAAATTGGACTAATGGTAAACCTTTTTCAAATAGGTATACATCTCATAGGTTGTTTGCATTCTTTTCATGGGAACAGCAATGTGAGATACAATTGAGCTCAGAAGCCAAGTAACTATTTTTTTGTTGTCAAGCTTCCATTGCGTAAAGGCCTTAGTATTTGTTTCATCAGGTTTAGTAACTATCCCATTTAAACAGCCTTCAAGTCCTTTTCCTTCAACAAAGAAATCAAAATGGAACTTCCACATGTTGTAGTTGGTTCCATCAAACTTCATCGGAATGATATCCATCTTTTCAGCCATTTTGAACAAGAAATACAATCCAGAGAACAAAATGACAGCACTAATACAGATTATTCAAGGTTGTTAATCACTTAACTTGATCAAGAAACACGCCAAATACTGAAATCAATATCACAACACCCAAACAATGGGATTTCTCAAGAAATGAACACCTGACAGCAAGGCCAAAAAGATACTATCAAGAAACACAAGATAAATCAAGTCCAAAAAGTAATAAAATCAATCAACTTCGGTTCAACAAGCCACAAAGATGCTCTACCCTATAAAGGAATTGAAATCCTCCAAGAAAATACCAAAACAGCTCCAAACAACTGATACTTAGTGTTGACAGTCCAAACCAGTAGGGTGATAGGACTGTTGAAGTAAGAAAATGGATTAAAACCCTTTAGAACCAATTTAGAACCTCAACCAAGAAACTGAGAAGCAAGAAGACCCTAGGGTGACACCAAATCTAGGGTCCCAAGAAAAATGAAACATCTGATTAAGAAAAAAAGGGATTCAACCAACCTGTTATGTGATTTCTCTTGAAAAAACTGTGCTGTTTTGTGCTGATCAAAACAGCCTTCAAATGACCTCCAACCAAAGGCTTGAAGATGGATGTTGAAAGCCTAATGAAAACCCTTCAGACTGGAAAAAGAACCTGAGATTACAACCTGATATCCATGACCTACTCTGATACCATGTCACATAACCAGTGCGTGCTAGATAGAATGCACCAGAAATCAGGGGCGTTTCACAGAATGAATCAACCCCACCCCAAAAGAGCCAATATATGTACAATTACAGAAAAGCCCTTATAGGATTAAAGTAGAAGAAAACAAAGAAACAAATAAAGAATAGCATACAACAGGGGCTACAATAATATAGTACAACATCGGGACTCTTCACATATCCTTCATATTTAATCACCCACAGCCCCTCTTTTTTTAGTTTTTTGAACAGGTGAAGTAATTATTATTTTTTTAAAAAAGGTTTAAGTATCGATATTGTATTGATTTACTATAGAGAGCAAAAATACATCAGCTCATGTACAATGAGAAACCGTACATTGGTAATATACAAAACAAAGAAGAGTCATCCCTAAAAAGGGAAAGCTTGCAATAAAGAAGTTAGTTGGACACCCTGAAACCAGGGGCGAAGCCAAGTATATTGGTGGGGGGTCCTTGGCCACCCAAACATTTTGTTAAAACCATGGTTACCTAGTGGAGGCTGGGTTAGAAACATGATAAAGTGGGTTCTTGCACCACCCCCCCCCCAATAAAAAAGGAACTAAAATTGTAAAGGATCACACTCTAAGGCTCCTCCAACTCCTAAAATTTAAAAAAAAAAAATTATTTATTTTTCTTTAGAAAATCTGTAATAAACCAAAACCATCTCAGGCCATTTTCCCCCAAACCCTACTCCTCCCCAATTCATTTGCTTGTTTAACTTAGCAATCCAAAAGAAAATTCCTGGCTCCGCCACTGCCTGAAACGTTCTATGTACACCCAGCCAAAAACAAAGCAAACCTATGAGATTACTCCCGACTTCCTCCAAACAGAATATTTGTTGTCAACATGGTTTAAAGTGCCCAGATATTTCCTAATATTTCTATGACATATTTCCAATTCCATGGGTAGGGACACAATTTTCATATTCCCCAGTGAAGACTACCAGCACTGTGGAGTACAAGAGATAGCATTATAACATAGGTTGATGACAATATTGTAGATATGTGGAGTAGCAATATTACTACCCGCCTAATTTACATGATTAAAACTTTGAGCTAGCTCAATATTCATTTCATACATGAAGTTAAATATTAGTTTTTCATTGTATAATAGATTATTTGGTTAATCTATTAGAATCATTTGCATTTTCTATAAGGTTAAATTTTGCTTTAACTCATTCTATCATGTAGTTTCAAAATCTTAAGGTTTACAGGACAACTTCAGAACGTATTCTTTTTTCCTATAACCTTAGTTTCTAAGCTTTTAATGATTTGGAACAAGATAATAATTTAAAAAAGTGTGTCCATGCATTTATCAAAAAAAAAGTGTGTCCATGCTTTTATCATTTCATAAAGTATCATTCTGTATTTTAGCATACTTCAGAATGTTTCCACCATGTCAATAACTTTTACAATATTTCCATATGATATTTCTGACATGGTTCCTATATTTGGATGACTAATATTTCCACTGATGCTGACATTTTAAACCTCAGGGATTGGTAGGGAATGCAAAGAATGGGGTTGTCTAGGGTCAGGTGCTAATTTATAAGCTGTAAATTATATCAGTTGTTATTTAACAAAAAAAATTATATCAGTTGTTTTTTCTGTTTTTTTTATGTTTGTGTGACACCTGGCATGGTGATTGGATGGTTGTACTTTGTACCAGTTTGCCTTATTGTCTGCTTTTAAGCAGTATTGAGCCTTTTAATGAAATATTTTCTGTTCCCTATCAAAAAATATAATACGGCAACAACTAATATTAAGGAAATTTACAATAGTGCCCTTGCAGCACAATCTACCAGAAAATACAATAGGTAGTATAGAAAAGAAATCCAGACAACCTGATTAGGCATTTTTTCCATAAACAATTCCCAATAAAGTAACAAGATGATTAATAATCAGATTATTTTTTTTATAGAATAGCATAAAGCAGTCGTACCTGTTTTCTTCCAACCCAATATTTCTAATGGACTCATGCCCTGATGTTGTATACTATCTGCCAGTACTTCCCACAATTGCTTGCTTCTCATTGCAAGTTCCCATATATCACTTCCAGGTGTTTTGTGGATCATCCATATATAACCCTGGCCTGACATCAGCTCAAAAGGAAAAATAGAAAGTCAGGAAATCCTAAAGCAGGAAAAAGTTCATGAAATGTAATGAAAACATTCAAAGGAAGAAAAGCATAAAGTCCACAATTACCCGTCGAATTGACTGAGATACACCCATGAACATAACTAAGATTCCAAAGAAATCACTGAATCATCTTGATGCAAGAGCAAGAAGCTCAGGTATGAAGTTCTATGGATTTTTTATTTATTTGTATTCTTAGAATAGTAGGGGTGTTTCAGTCATTTTATATAGTATCCATTGGTTCTGGCCTTAGAGTTTGCTTCATCTATTCATAGTTTAGTTGTGTTTAAAATGACAATCATTACTTTAGGAGTTATTGAACTTTCATTGAGTTAAACTATGGTGGTGGCAATTGGTGTGATATTATCCAGTCATGCATGGAGTTACTTGAATATAGCAAGTAGATATCTACCGCCCCAAATTCTTCTTATTTATAACCTTTAATTCCTTACAATAATAGGACAGAAATACTTAAGTCCTAGTCCTAGTAAGACAAAATATAATATAGATAAACATGAAAAGGCCAGCCGGCCCAATCTTAAAAGAAAAATAAAAACAATTAGGAAACTAGGTGTGGGTATGGAACCACACACACTAGAGCTTGAGTGTGGGTATGGAACACCACACTCGTGACTAATTTCTTCACTCCCCCTCAAGTTGGGAGTAGATATTTGTCATGCCCAACTTGCGTAAATCTGTCTCCAATTTGATTTTTGTGACTGTTTTGGTGAAGAGATCAGCTAACTGCATGTCTGAGGCAATGTAAGGCATACTTCTCGGGATGCAACTCGCTCTCGGATAAAATGTCTGTCAACCTCGATATGTTTAGTCCTATCATGCTAAATTGGGTTGGGGGAAATACTAATTGTAGCTTAATTAATGCAATATAGCATTAGAGGCTTCTCATAATCAATCTCCAACTCATTAAGCAAGGTGTGGAAAAATAAAGAGGAAGAGAAGAAGAAAYGAARAGGGAGAGAAGMAKAAATACTTCTGTATTGATAATGTGTTGATAAAACATGTTGAGCATACAACTTAAATAAGAAAAGATAGGAGACACAAACTCCTAGAATCTCTCTCAATTAGGGATTGATTAAATCTTTCCCTTAATCCTAGGATATGACTTTCCTAAATTTATTCAAATCTGTAATCAATCAATTCATATTTGTAATCAATCAAATCTTTCTAAATTTGCAACAAATCATATCTTTCTTAATTTGCCGCAAATCATATCTTGTCGACACTTCCCCTCAAGTTGGTGCAAAGATATCTATCATGCCCAACTTGCTAACTTGAAGTTCAAATGGCTGTCTCAACAAGCCCTTAGTCAAAACATCWGCAAYTTGTTGCGTGGTTGGTACAAACGGAGTGCAAATTATTCCTTCTTCAAGTTTCTCCTTTATAAAGTGTCTGTCAATCACAACATGTTTAGCCCTGTCATGTAGAACCGGATTATGAGCAATGCAGGTAGGTAACTGGGACAGGTAAAGGAACTCTTAGAGTCGGAACTGAAATCCCTTCCTCACTATTCTCCCCCTGAAGAGAAGCCTTATGATAATAGGGCATATCCTCAAAGAAGGTGACATCCATGGTCACAAAGCACTTCCCTAAAACTAGCTCATAACAGTAATATTCCTTTTGATTTTGTTCATACTCAAGGAAAATACACTTAGTGGCTTTGGGATCAAACTTGGAGCGATGAGGTCTAAGGATTTGAACAAAACAAGTACACCCAAAAGTTTTGAGGGGAATAATGAATAGGTCCTTATTTGGATATAGAAGATTGAACAGGGTTTGCATGTTTAAGACCTGTAAAGGAACCCTGTTAATGAGATATATGGTTGTACAGCTTGCATCTCCCCAGAAGCGTATGGGAACATTGGAGTTAAGCATGATGCTTTTGGCTACCTCTAAAATATGTTTGTTTTTTTCTCTCAGAAACCCCGTTTTGCTGAGGTGTGTGAGGACAGGTGCTCTGATGAATGATCCTATGATCAAGGAGATAGGATGCCAAGGGTTTTGCAAAATATTTCTTAGCATTATCAGATCTAAGACTCTTGATCTTGGTTTCAAATTGAGTTAGGATCATCTAATGGAAAGCTTGGGTCAGAGAGGAGACCTCATCTTGAGGGTGCATAAGATAGACCCATGAAAAACGGGTATAATCATCAACAAATAATAAGAAATACCTGTACCCCCCCCATGGTGGGAGTATGGTAGGGCCCCCAAGCATCGGTATGCACAATCTCAAAAGGAAGGTTGCTTCTTTTATTAATTAAAGGATAGGATGATCTACTATGTTTTGCAAGTTCACAACTTTCACATTTTAAACCAGACACTTCTACCGACTCAAACAAATTTGAAAAAGACTCTTTAAAAACCCAAAAGATAAATGACCTAAGCGGTTCTGCCAAAGCATAATCTTACTACAAGTCTCAGAAACAAACAATTTCCCCACTTCACTCTACTCCCCCTATGAATGTTCAAGTAGATAGACTCCATTCATCTCACGGCCAATCCCAATCACCTTCTTCGTTTCCAGATCCTGAAAAATGCACTGAGTAGGGAAAAAAATTACCGAACAATTTTGATTTTTAGTAATACTACTAACTAAAAGTAAGTTAGCAATAAGCTTGGGAGCATGCAAAGCTGAGGATAGGGTGATGGTATCTGATATCTGATGTCTCCCTTGCCAGAAATTGGTACAAGAGAGCCATTAGCAAAAGAAGCTTTATCTCTCCTAGAAGATAAACAATAGGTGCTAAATAGAATAGATATGCTAGTTATATGATCTAAAGCACCTGAACCTACTACCCAGGAAGGTCTAGTATTACTTAGGACAGAAGCATGACAAGCAATAGCTCTTGTACCTGTATGAGCAAGGGCTGAAGTAGGCTATTGAGCTGATGTAGGCTGAGCTGAATTACTAAATTCATTTTCTAGCTGAGTCAGAGCAGTTCGATTGCAGCTAGGGTATCTAGAAGAGTGCCTTTTATGCCTGATGAAGTTGTACTATTAGTGTTGATAGTCATATTAGCATTCCCTTTCTTATTTCTCAGCTTTGCTAGAACTAGATGAGGGTGCAACTTCCAACAAGTGTCCTTAGTATGTTTAGGTTTCTTGCAGTGTTCACATACTAAGTCCTTCTTAGCTTCCTTCTTCTCCTTATCCCCCCCAGATTTAGGTCTAACTGCTACCAAGGCTGATTCAGAGAGTTGTTGCTGCAACATAGCATTTCTCCTAGTTTCTTCACTATGCATTAGGGAATAGGCTTGTGATAAAGTCACACTATCTCTTGTCAACAACTGTTGTCTCACAATGTCATACTCAGAGTTCAGACCAACTAGGAACTCAAAAGCTCTATTAGTTTCAACCCGCTTCCTATATGTTTGTGCATCTTTCTGGCTCTCCCATTCAATTGCTTCAAGATGGTGAATTTCATGCCACAAGGATTTTAAGGTTGAAAAGTAAACAGAGACCTGCTTCTCTCCTTGCCTCAGATTTTTAACCTCACATTTTAGCTCATAAGCCCTAGCAACATTAAGAGGCTAAGAGTAAGTTTCCTTCACAACATCCCATATTTCCTTAGCTATTTTGGCCCACAAGTAGTTTCGGCTGATGTGTGACTGCATAGAGTTGCACAGCCATGTCATCACCAAAAATTTTTCTTGGACCCACCTAGCATAAGTAGGGTCCTCCTTGGAGGGTTCCTTCACATCTCCTAGTAAGAAGTTCGATTTTCCTCTACCCCCAATAGCCATTATGGCTGATTGGGCCCATTCTAAATAGTTTGATCCATAAAACTTAACAATTGTAATCTGAAAGGTGTTTTCAGTCATTACCTGAACCACCAGTCCCAAAAGCACCTTCCCCTTGGTTCTTGTACTCCATTCTAAGTTAAGAAAACTACTGTTACTAAAAATAATTGTATTTCAAGGCTGATAACAGCCGACCTAGGACAATGATTTTGCAATTAGATAACAGTCAACTACTGTCCTGGGATTGATATCAGTCCTGAGATTTTCTATCTGTACCTCTCTGAATGAATATCAAAGTCCTTTTGAGTATAAATCTCAAGAGAAGGTACTTACTTTATGAAGAAAAAAGCCTAGAAAACTGATTGCTACCTTTAGTCTTCAAACTTGACTAATCGATTATTATCAGCACCATGAATCTTGATCAAAGAACCAAGAAAAAAAAACCGATCAGCACCTCCAATCTTGATCAAGAATCGATCTTGATCACTCAATTCCTGCCTGATTCTTCCTGATTACAAGAAGCTCTCTCCAATCTTAGGACAGCTGCTAAAGCCTTCTTGCAACCTCCAAGAATCAGCCGAAAYAAGGATCWTTYTGAACTTTCAGCCCTAAACAATTCTCATGTGGTCGGCTGAATTAAATCCACATGAGAAACCCTAGATCTAAGGCTCTGATACCAACTAGAAAGAAGAAGAATTGTTTACTGTATTACAGGTTTGAAGAGAAGAAAATAGAGAAACAGAGAGATAAAAAAAGAGTGAAGAGAGGAGAAAAGAAAGAAGGGGTTCAGTGGTGAATGATCTGCTGCCCCATATACTCCTAATGAGATTAGGAAATTGTCTCTTTAAGGCTATAAATAGGAGAGCAGAGCGAACCTTCAAAACACATTCACTGAATGCAGAGAGAAGACAACATAGTTAGACTATTCTTGCCTTCCGCTCTTTTTCTTCCTGCTCTTGCCGCCCTACCCTGTTTGATCTCCAGTTCTTGGATTTGATCAAGCTTCAATCTTGACATTGTTTCTTCCCAAAAGAAACAACATAGAATTTGTGCTCATTGTCCCATTCGATTCTTGCTGAAGAATCACTAGTTCTTGGTGAAAAACTGCTTGTTGATCCTGCCTCATCCTATGCTGTGTCATCTCCCGTAGAGGAAGGATTTGGTACTCTCTTTGGGCGTGAACACCAGCGTTGGGAGG